CTTATGAAAAAACCTGCCCCTGTCAAACAGAAACTAACATTTGCATTAGTCATGAATCATCACACAAAAGATCACACATTCCCTATCAGTGATGTTTTACTCCCACGGGTGACAGGATGTCATGTCCAGATCATTCTGTGCCAGCTGGGATCTACACGCCCTGAAGTTGGAGTGCCTTCCTGTTGGGGTAATTTTTTGGTCTTTTAAAAAAAATCTCCTCAGCTTTTTAATTTAATTTCTGCTTTCTTGGAACTCAAGGCCTATAAACATCAGCATGAATATTCATGAAAACATTTATTTTTCTATTCAAATTCAGTTCAAAGGATTTTACTCTGAGATAAACAACTGAAATTCATTCACACTTTCTTTATATTTCAACACCAAAAAAATCCCCAAATCTCTCTTAGACTGTTGACACAGACAAATCTGGAACTTCTCCTCCAAAAAAGCTCCAAGTACATCTTTTGACCAATTTCTATATGTAAAAACCCAACTTTATAAATGTCTTGCTCTTATCTCAGATATATTTCAAAGTGTTGGGCGTGACGCTTACATGATTAATCACGATTTTGAACATAGTTTCTTTCTGTTTGACTTGTTTTATTGTCCGATTTTTCTTATTTTATGGCCTCATTGATGTTTTTGTTTTCTGGACGTCAGACTAGACAAAGTGTGAGAAACTTCCAGATGATGTTTTTCTATTTGTATATTTGTTTCTTCATTCATGATGAGGACAAATGATCTTATGGTGACTTCCTTTGACTATGGGGACAGTGTTTTTGATTCCACAGGACAGAAAACGTCTCTATTAGCTGATGCATAACCGGTGAATGTACAAGTGATGTCTCTTTCCAAATAAGCATTGTGAGGAAGTCAGATGAGAAAGACAGATGGGGGGGGAGGTGAAATAGGGAAGCTGATATCATGAATAACATGATTTTTAAGCATTTCTGAGAAGATGTCTAATCTTAAAAGTAACATTACGTCAACTTTCGTCACAATGTGACTAATGTTGTTACAGAAACCTGCTGTCTCTGCAAATTCACCGGAAAACAAATACAGTTACCAACTTACATACCACATAAGGAAACCCATAAAAATAAACACAAGGACAAACTTATTAACATGCCTAAACGAACACAAAACGAGGAACTGCTTTCCACGGATGGCTTAAGCACTAAAAACGCTGATTCAAAACAACTAAGGCAAGTTTTATGGGGAGATCAATATTCCCCTCGTCAGTCCATCCATAAAACGTCTGTAAGAAACCCGCAGCCTGACTGGGAAAATAATGTTGACACTGTCACCATTTGACAAACAAATGTCATAGTTACACAAGCTGATCATCCAAAGCCCATACAACAAACCAGCAAAACCACAGAATTGTAATGAGAATGAATGGTTAATTCATCACCCACTGCCACTCTGCATTTGTCAAAGCGATATAAAAGGAGTTGTTAGCTTTAGCTGTGGGTTCCCACCACACAAAGCCATCATTACTACAGCCTGTAATCACACGGGTACAGTGTGTCCTGCTGCCACAGGCCCTCAGACGTGTCATCCGCTCACTCTGGCCTCCTCGTATCATGTAAAGGGTTTCACATTCACGTGTGTTTACCAGCCCTTAAGTCAGATGTTTATATTGTACACTAACAGTGGAAAAGTGCTGAGCCATCAAAAAGAAGCTATTAGCTTAGACGGCCAAAGAAAAAAAAAAAAGTACGACCGGACTGTTCAAGGCTTTTAGGCAGCAGAGGAGCTAAAGGCACTCCCACATGTGCCCTAACCGTGGCAAAAGAGAAACAAAATGTTCACACTTTATCCAACTTGACACTGTGGGGCGCAAATAAAAAAACAAAACAAAAAAAAAGCAATTCAACTTATTTTAAAGTCAGTCAATTACACAAGCTCAGATACACCAGAACAAAAGGGTAGTCTGATAAATTATTATTGATGATAAAGTTTCAGTTTCAGCAGCACAGGGATGGAGGAATTGAGGATTCGTCCTTACGTTTTATGTTAATTAACAAGAAGTGAATGGATTGTTTTCCTATAGTGAACCATACATTTCCTTGTAATCTCTTTCAGTCGTTCTTGGACCTACTCGTTTGGATTACGTGTTCTTTCTAAGTGCTTCGGAAGTTCTGTCCAATTAACTTTGTCCACTTTCTGGAGCGGTTTGCATTTTTGAGAAGGGAAAATGAAGGGAGTGTATTTCAGTTACGTTTCCCGCCTAACCCCTCCCCCTTCTTCTCGTCCATGAACATTGTAACGCACATTCCTGACTAAATGCTGCCGGCGTGTTCAGCCATGTCATTTGTACTTGCTTCATTACTCCGAGACACAAACACAAACTTTGTGGGCACAAAGTAGCAGAAGAGGGAGGACGTTCCACGTTCTTTACTGTACTGCGCTCGAAAACAGACACAGATTACTGTATCTCTTCTGCTAAACATATTGCGACGTTTGAGGGACTCATTTCACGAAATAACAAAGATTTCTCTATCAGTCAGGGCAACGTACAACTGTGGAAACAAGGAGGGGTCAACCAATAAGGTAGAAGAAAGAGCATGAGATCCGCTGCTCCACACTTAGCGTCCAGTGTTTGAGGTGATGTCTCGCCAATGGAAACGGTAAACCTGCTGGCCCTCACACTGACCGTCTTGTCAGCCTCTTTATGATGGAAAAATGCTCCAGACAGACCACTGCGCCGAAAATCCATCCATCCGTCAAAGTGAAGCCATTAGGGAGGCTCTCTCCATCAGGCGCTCTGCTTAGAGTGCACCCATTTTGTTCCGTATGCTGTAAACATTTACTGTCCAGTGGCAGGAGGAAGGACACCCGATGTCTTCCTTTCTTCCAGTGCTCTGGCTTGAGAAGGTAGAGAAGATGGCTGTCAACCTTTAGTTCAGGCGCTGAATGGAATTCAATAGAGTAATTTAATGCAGTCTAAGGCACAGGTTAAGTATTACAGACATGATCTTAGTGGTGTAATTCATAAGGCATGATGAGACCAACTCTATGGCACAGACTGACAAACATCACAACACAAATTACATTAGGCCCTTTTAGATATTTAGATGCTGGATTGGTTAAGCCATTTCCACAAGAGTGCTTGTTAAGGTAAATTTTAGATACAAAATTATACTGGATCATCATGTTATTTCTGTTATGTCATCTTAAATGGGAAACCTCGATGCTATCCAGGGTTACCGATTTGCCAAGCAGGTGGATGTTTACATTTATTAATTTAACGTTTGTGTGTGCATTTCACAGTTGCAGATAATAACATTGCCATAAAACCCACCATAGGTGATTGGGTGGTTGGGTTAAGGATGAGAATTTGATTTGGAATAACAACATTTTAATGTAATTTTTATTTAGATTATTGCGTAAATGGAAAACTTGTAAAAATGAGGCTTATATGTGTAAGTAATAAAGCTCAGTGTTTCCCTCCCTCTAGCTGAACACTTTCAGTACATTAGTACTCCTTTGAGTGCTCTGGATTGTTTGTTCATACCTCACCGACATAAGTAATTTTCACTGGGTGATGAGCTCAAACATCAAACATTCAGCTCACAATATCATACAACTGAGGACTGATGTTTGGGAAAAAAGACTCAATGATTCAGTTTTAACTATGACTTCACTTGTGGCTCTGACTAATATAAAAGGGTGTCCAACATGTAAACTTTTCACATTGACTTTATTCTTTTTGTAAATGTGATACACTTCAGAGAAATTAAGTATATTGACACTGAACATGAGCAACAGCCTCCTCTGAGATTCCAGCAACTGTTAACAGTTGAGATTACAGACAAATTTGGGTGTGTTTTGGTCATAACCGCAACTAATCAAATTGTTTACTTGGAGCAAACGCTACATAGAATACAACTTTGTCTATACAAGAATGAAAGCATGCTTTAAACAAAGGGTTTTTATGGATGGTAGTAACAGGACGGATAACAAGGTTTTAGTATTTGCTCAAGAGGGTTGATGGATCAGTGAGGTTCTGCAAAGTTATGACCATCAGTTTCAGGGACAGAAGCGGAACAATGCATGCACGCAGGTGTGTGGCTGCCTGGTAGAAGCATGTCACTGGTCTGCATACCTGTCCACAATTCAGACCTTTCACCACTTTAAAACACTCGGTTGAGCTGTTAGGTTCCTGCGATCAGAGAAGTATGGGACAACAATCCTCCCCAGTGAAATACCAAAATGCCTCAATGTCTGCATTTTTTTATGTTTTTATTGTTCTTCTGTGGATGAAACATAGTTTTTTTTTGGTGCATTTGAAAGTATTTTAAACATTGTTTCATGCTAAAATGGAAACAAGAAGACCTGTTGAGACAGACTGTTCCCTATTTTGCGTGTGCGCAAAAATGTCTCAAGGAGACTTGTTTGGGGCAGGTGTGGACACATGGAACTTCCCCTTAGCTGACTGAACCTGTTATGTGCGCATGCGGGCAGACGCTCTGATTGGATGGTTTAAGCACACACACAGAATCCTATTGGTTCTTTTCTTGCATCTACTTAAAACAAAGCCAATGCAAAAATAATTACAAAAAAACATAAATCAAAATGCAAAAAAAAGGACAAAATTATAACAATATGTTAAACACACTTACAGCCTTTACAAGATTATTAAAAGAGACATGCTTTTCGTCTGGTGGATATTTATTTTTAGTTTATATGATGGATTTCATCGAGGCAACACAGTTTCTGTAAACATTAACAAAACAAAGCATCTCTAAAAACATTAGATCAAAACAAGAAATGAAATCCCATATATAATTACAAAAATGTGTACAGAGAAGTACATCCTGTCTTTAATTTAGAGTGAGGGCAGTAACTCTTTAACGTCTGCTTGTGTTGCAACAGATCTACATGTTTATAATGTATGCCACATCTCTGCCACATCTTATTCCGAACCAAAGGTATATTTAAAACATTTTTACATTTATGATGCAGACACACACTCAAAAAAGAAGGAAAAAAAAAGCAAATCAAACACCTAAAATGTTTCTGAATTCTGAATCTGTTGACAAACTATGATCTTCATCTCCAGTCATTTAGGTTTTCAATAGAATAAATACTTTATCTGACAGGAGATCAGTGCACGTTCAAGTCTGAGATCCCAAACAAAAACAAAAAGGAAAACAAAAACAAAAAAACAAGAAATTACAAACCAGCCAAAAGCATGACATTAATCTTCCAGTAAATTATTTGACCTGAATGAGAGCTGACTTTCTTGATGTTAGTGTGTCTTTATTCAATTTTCAAATAAACAAATTTAGTTAAAAGCTTCTTTGCTGTTGTGGCAGAGCAAAAATAAGTAGTACTGCCCAAGGTTTCCCAAATTTTCCCTCCAACCCTCAAAGAATGCCATCGAAACATGCTCCAACCCATTTTTTGTTTCTTCTTCTTCACTCTGACCTCAACGCTGTGTCCCTGCGTGCTGAATCTTGCCTCCTCTCTCACCTCCCCAGTCTGCTCTGAGCAGAAGATGACAGGATGACTCACACAATCATAGAGGAGGATCTTCAACCGGAAAAACAGGGACATGAATGCAAAGCAGATAGCTGAGTAAGTAGAGACTGTATATTCTTTATTACATTTTGACTTGTGTAAGGGATATAAGGTGTTGTCAAATAAACTTTAAGTATCTTAATTTTACATTTTTCCTGCACTGATATTCTCAGGAACAAGCTTGACCACGGTCACTTGGCATGACACGCCTCCTGATATATACTGATAATGTAGAAGTTACAGTTAGAGCTAAACCAAGCCGGATATCCTGGGCGAATAAAATGGAAATGATAACAGTTGGTACTCAGCTGGCAGTTTTCGGGTCAAAATCTGAGACCAATATGTTTTGGAAAAAGTCCCTGCAGTAAATCCTCCTTCATGAATTCCTTGCTGGTTTGTTTGATGCAGTTTGAGGCCCTGCTAAACTTCAAACATCACAGGGGAGGGTAGCGATGGATTTGAAGCATGTCAGCACAGATACGCGCTGACGGTGTGTAAAGTGGGCGGGATTCACATTCAAGCGCGTATGCCAACTGGGATCGAATGAACAAGAACCCAATTTGGATTTGATGTTCATGCTGCGAGCCAGGATCAGAACCTAATCAGTGATTAATGACTCGAAACGTTTGAATTTCTCCACAATCTTTTCAGGAGGGGCCTTCTCCCTGTAGGAAAACGTTTCACCCTCCTTCATCATTGCTCCAGCTGGATCGTTCACTAGCTGTAGGAATTGGGCGCGTTTGGTATGACGCAATACCATGTAACAGACACAGAAAATAACCTTCATGTCAACAATTGATTTATTGTTTTTGACAGCAAAGGGGGATCCAAGAAAATGCCAGCTGAGTGGATATCACTCGGTCAGATTATTTGCTGTTTAGAAATCTGCTAATAGTGTTTAAGAACTGAAGAAAGGGAGTCCAGCGTCATTTAACCTGAGGGTTGTTGTAATTCTTTTGAGTGTGTGAGAAGATGACTGCCAGCTCAAGGGAACCATAACATAACACACTTCACAACACTGTGATTTCGGTTTTGATATTGTGTTCAAGAAGTCTCTTCAAGCTCAGCATTTTCCATATTTAAATTAGAAATTTTGTGTGAATAAAACGTTCAGATTTTCTCCTAGTGCTGACTTGACATGAAATAAGGCACAACTAGTGTTTTTTTGGGCACTGTATGGTCTACAAAGTACATATCTGATTGGAAAAACTTAAATCTGTAGAAAAGCTGCCACAACCTTTGCGGTAACCTCGACTAGCAACTTGTTTCAAACAAAGAAGGCTGATCGGATGTGCTGAGAGACGTCTAACGAAGAGGTAAGCTCAGAGGTATCATGGATCAAAGTGAGCAGAAATAAAGCGTCTGTGGATGAGATTTTTTTTTTTTTTTACTTAACATTTCAAATGCTCAGCTGCGCTTGAAGTGTCCCCTATCCCCTCCACCTGGCACAGGTAGCGAGATAAATCAAACCGCATTATTCTTTCCTCCCAGAAACACGAATATCTACATGTGTGGCCTATGCATGTGGGATCACAGACGTGTGTGTGTGTGATCAAAGTCATCTGTGTGTGTGTTTTCCTTAGATTTCCAGTAGGATAAAAGTCACTCATCACAATCATCATTCTATCAGCTTAAGTCCAGGAAATATCTGGAGAGCAAGTTTTTGTCTCTGTTGTGAGTTTCCAAATAGGAAAGGGGGGGGGGGGGGGGGGCAGACAAAAAGCTTGGGGACAATGTTTGTTAACAACATGGATGCAAAAAGAAGAGAGAAAGTGCAGATTAGGGATAGGTGGACGGGTTTGAGGCAGAGGCGAGGAAAAGCTACAAAAATGTAAAGGATCAGATGAAAAAAAAAAAAAAACACCCCCCAAAAAATAAACTCCTGTTTGGGTAAATTCAATATTCTCCGACGTCTGTCAGCCAGGCAGAGAGAGAGAGATGACTGGAGAGCTGGTTAGATGAGGGCTTCGCATGAAACCAGCTGGATCCACCCAGATGCCTCCCCTGGCTGCATGGATGGATCATGGGCAACAAAAAGGTGGTGTGTTTGGGCCTGAGGGGGGACGAAAAAAAGAGCAACACCGTCACAAAAACGCAGTCAATCGGTTCTTCACACAGAACATGTGATGGTCGCCCCGAATGGACAATCCCTGTGTTGATGAGCAGAGGGTTCGACACCCACCGGGGGCCATTTTGTGATCACACAAATGGAAAAAGACAGCAGCTCTCTATTGATCTGAATTGGAATATGGAGTGGAAATATTTTGCACTGTCCGTCATTCACAGAGCAGTGCAAGCCACCTGTGTTTGGGCATTAGAAACAAACAGCAGATCCTGCTGAATTATGTATCCTTTGAGACCTTAAATGTGCAGTTATCATAGAGCGCTGACACTTTAAAACAGCGATGTCTTTGTGAACATGTAGACGTGTGTTTCAAAGACCTGTTTTCAGCATCGGTTGCGGCTTAAACTAACAAGCCGCGTGGAGCTGTTTCAATGGAGTTTAACTCTTAGCTGTCGGTTAAATAAGGATTCATTTGAGTTGTCTGCCTCTCACTTTAGTTGTAGCTGTCTGTATGTGTGGGTAGAACAGAGAGAAAAAACAAATGCTTCTCAGAAAACTGCAGACACTTTGGGCCTGGCCCACAAAGCAGTTTTTTTTTTAAATAACCACATGTATTTAGATGCACACAAACAGTGCATGCAGGTACTTAGTAACCACATGTGGTTTATCTTTGCTCAAGAAAAGTTCTGTGTTGCCAGATTGTCGTCTGGATAGCCGTGCGGGAAACTTGGATTTGCTCGATGAGCATTTCAAATATGTGTACTTTTCTTGCATCAGTCAAAAGTCGGTGTTGCTCAAAGTTAAAAGTGCCTGTGACATGCATGACATCATGAATAATACACTCATCAGATGCTTACCGGCAGTTTGAAGGGATGTCTTTAGTACGGTGACTCAACTCTGAAAAAACACAAACAAAACAGTAAACCATGATTAGCTCAGACAATTTCAGCTTGCCAAATGATCACTGTGAAGAATGACGACCGTCAAACCATGTCTGACCTACATATTTTCCCGAGATTATTTTTCAAGTCCGTACAACATGTTAAGCTCACTTCTGCTGATGTAAAACAGCTTCTGGGTGTTGGTGTGTTTTTCTGACAAACAATTGTTGATACAGCTTTGCCTACAATAACTAACTCTCTTTCAGGCAGCTTGACAGGTGGAACAAAAAACCATTGCAAGAATGCACGGGTCTCGTAAACCGAAACATTTCTGAATGAACATGTAGTCTTTATAATCTCCATGTTTAAAAGACATGATAAAAATGTATTTTCAAATATAGTTTGAGGCGTGTGTAGGTCGCATTCATTTTGTCGAAGACCCTGCGGTGCATTCTCGCCATATTTCTATTCACTCCCCATGAAACCAACCGTGTGACCTGAGCGAAGCATTCAGGAAGTTAGAAGAAGGCTGAATGAAGAAAACACCCACTGAGAGGCTCAGAAACACCAGCCGTTCAGTCTTATCACTGAAACTGTGACATCTGTTTTTTATTCTTTTGGGGCCGGTGATAAGGCCAGGAACAGAAAACAACTACGTTCAGATGTGAAAGAACTAATCCCTGAAAAACTTTCTGAACTGTGTCAAAACACATGGAAAGTCAAATAAACAAAGGTAAAAAGTGGGTAAAAGAAAAGCATGTGATAAAAACTAAAAACAACTATGTTTGAGAACCATGTTTGAGAACCCAACAGTAACTCAAAGGGTCTCAGTCATCTGCATCAAGCACAAAAGACTTTGTTGATTCGGATGTGCAGCAGTAAACAGGATTCTCGAAACCAGAGAAATTCTCACTTTTACAGATACTGAAAAAAATACTGAACTTGGTATACATTTGAAAGAGGATGTTCAGATTAGTCACATTTATGATCACTGTTGCTAAAAAACATTCATTCATAAGCAGTGACTTCCTGTCATATTGCTTGAGATAACGCAGCAGTGGTATCTAAACTGTTTCCAAAAGCCGTGAGTTCAATAACTCCCACATAAATTCCGGCCTTTTCAAAGATTTGGCTTTGGGTAATCAACAAAACAGCAAAAAGAAAAACAAAGATTCTGCTTTGCAAAAGGTAACTGCCATATCAGTCATTAATGAAACAAAAAATAAGTGATTAAAAGCACCGTGCTATCTTTTTTGTAAGAGGCAAGAATGGATTCTCCTCTCATCCCTCAAAAGTAAGTCTCCCATAGGTCTCACTTATGATTTATCATCACTCAAAACACTTATCATAAAGGATGCACAGCAACAATAACACAGCGAAGCCTGCAAAAAGTGCAGCTGAGAACGGAATGACTGAGGTGAAGGAGAAAGAGCCTGTGGTTTTTCTGACTTGATTTAGTAGGTGGTCTGTGAGTGGAGTGGAAGACAAGCGTGGGCATGACGGTCACATTCTTCTGAGTTAGACCTCTGCAGCACAGCTCCTCTTCTGCATACAGTCAGCGACCCAGAGCGTCGTTGCTCTTTGTAAATGAATGAATCGGGGAACGATTCTGACTGTGAGACAGAGGCCTTTGTATTCGGGCTTTGCATTCTAACTAAGGGGTGTGATGGGAAAAGGGTTTTCCCACCTTGTCACGTTTTTTATTTGTCTAAATGTCTGAAAGCAGTACCAAGAGGTGAGAGGAGAGGGATTGTAGAGGGGAGGTTGAACCGGTTTTGTGCTTAACATTTTGTCACTGTTGGATGAAGACTGGATCTCGCAAAAGAAAGGAAAAGATTTACGTGCACTTTTTCGTTTTTGCCAAACCGGTTTTGAAAGATTCAAATGAGTAAAGTTTGGCTGCTGTCACCAATACAGTACTATTTACTCATTTTACAACCGGGCAAAAGTTTGGGCACTCTTTTTCAAACATCTTGAATGAGTGAATGAATCCAAAGTATAAAAAAATAGTGTTGTACGCAATGTTTGGACTTTTTTTTTCTTGCTGTTTTTATGCAAATGCTTCTGGTCTGAGGAGACAGACCTGACCTCACTAGCTGTTAGAGGTGGCGGATGATTTCCCTCCAGCTACAAAACAAACAAATATCTCCAGCATACAAACTGCTGCGGGACTAGAAGTCTGCAGGGCGAGTGGATCAACTAGCTCAACCACTTCCATGTTTTCATTTAGTGTCCAGCCAGAGAGTGGAAAAGGCTTACAGAATATTGAATTTGAAATATGAAATTATTCTCCGAGTCTGTTTCTGTAATGATAATTTTGAAATGTTTCACAAGCCCGAAAGTTTAGACGCCCTGAGTCACATACGAGGACTCAAACCAATCCAGTTTTCTTTTTTAATTCAGCTGCTCTGACTTTTTCACAAACTAGATATAAAAACACTGCTATAGTTCAACAAACTGAAGTCATAAACATTCACTTAAACATCATTCATTTGATGATGATGAGGAATAGGTGGTATTTCGTAAATACTGGAACATGACAGATTATCTCCAAAACAGTGCCGCTCTGGGTGACGGCACAGAGACAAAGAGAGTTTGTCAGGAAGTTTGGCAGTTTGTTCATTAATGCCTGAAAGAGCAAGCAGTTCTCTTTACCAGAGAACTGGAATAACAGCTGACAGATGAAGATCTGACTGCTGGAAGGTTCTGTCTTTGTGACACAGACCAAGATTAGTCAGGGGGGGAAGTGTGTGTGTAGACAGTGGGCACTGTAACCTGAACTGAAAGCAAAACTGCATACAAAGGCCGCTTCCTTTTTGGATGGCAGATATCTCACTTCTTTCTTTATCTGGTTGGTCTGTTTGTGGTTGGCGTTTCCATTCGTGCTGCTTCGCGGCTTCAGCAGAAGCACAGATGGACAAAATTCTGTTATAAACTTGCACCCTGTGTGTATGTAGAAAGACTGTAAGGCCAGCTCAAATACTTAATAAAGGAAGCATTAAATAACTAGGAGTCACACCTCTATTCGGGTGGCTGAAACGCTTCATTAAAGCCATAATAGAGGGTACCAAAAAACAGCAAATTGGACATCAGGGTAAATATTTATGAGGAATGTAGATACTTGTCATTAAAAAGCATGAAAGAAATGCGGCAAAATCAAAAAGTAAGAAAGCTAGCTGAACGAATAACAGAAGCACTTCATCTTTTCAGCTTTGACCACTTTAAGCATCACACACATCAGCTAAAACTGCCCAACAGAAAGTGCAATGCCATTAGAATACTCACACGCAGTTGTTCTCTGTTAATGTTAACCGCATGTTCTAGCAGCATAACTACAAATCACCCCCTCTGCCATGTTTTCAACAATAACGCGGTTATCATAGCGTTTTCTGGGACTGACTAAATATGAAATAGGGAAACCCTAAGCCTAAAACCACCATGTATGCGTCAATTAAACATGCCTGGTTTACTTTTGCCTCTTGAGTGCAACAAGTGTGAGGAAATAACAACCGCTGTCAACTGACATTGCTGTGCAATGAGGTCATCTTCCTAGAAAAGCTGCACCTACAAAGTTTCTCTCAACTGGGTTGACACTTACACCCAGTTGAATGAACATGATAAACTCAGATAAAGAGAGTTTAAACATCTAGCAAATAAAAAGACAAGATATATGAAAATGGTGTAAATAAGCTTCTTCCTGTTGGGGGGTAAAAATGTCCCTCTCAGACATAAATTTTTCTTTTATAAAGTTGTTGAGCAAGAGACTGAACTTCAAATCCTCCCTCAGATGTGATATAGATGAGAGGAAACAACTTAATTGATCCGTAGCTTGTTTTCTATTCAGAGGAGTCTATAACTGCTCTCTTCATTGTATTATACGAGCCATTATCCACAGCAATCGACCTAGAGAGCTCCTTTAAAATGTCTTCTTTAACCCACAATGCCTTGAAACATTCAGCACTGACAGTGCAACTATTGAAATGTGTTTTATCGCTTGGGTTGGGGTAAGGGTTAGGTGCTTAAACTAGCTAGTTTTTGCACAGGCCCTTTCCCTGCGTCACGCTTAAATTGTGCAGTCTATTTTGAATTAATCTCACATAAATGTGTCAAACAGAGAGCCAAGCATGTATTCATCTTAAAATTTGACGACAAAGAGGAAAAAAACAACAGACGACTTACAGGCCATGCAAGGTCTAAATATTTAAACATGATGTGGTTAAGGGAAATTAGACACAAAATGGAAAATCTAAAGACCTTGTAAAATTTTTTTAAAAAGTGTGCTTGTATATACTTTTTTACAGTGAATGAGAATGAAAAAGAGTTTCTAAAGCAGCAGCAGGTTTGAAAAAACGCTGCCCCAACAGGTTGCTGTGTTTGTCTCACTCCGCTGTCAACACAGTTGTTGGCTTTTATTTGCATTTCTGAGTGAATTAAGCTCTACAGAGAAGGGTGAATGAAGCCGGCAACTTCCTGTCTTCCTCATCTTTCTCCTCCTCTTTGACCCACTTCTTTAATTTCCTTCACTTCAAACAGCACAAAAAGCTCTCGTGTGTCAGTGTTTGCTGAGTGTCAACAGAACAATCTGCTGCGCTGGAACTGGGGTCTGCGCTGGAAGATTAGTGGACCATCCGGCGCTCCTGCAGAGCCATGGTAACCCTGCTCAGGCTTAACCTGCCTCAGAGCCACTTCGCTTTAGGGCAACAGCAAAATACGTCGGCCCTATAACACGTCAACTGGCCTATTAAACATTTAGAAACGGAGCCATCAGCCATAGAGGAGCCAAGCATTTGTGATTAAATGGCAAATCAATCATAAAACTGTTAAATGGAGGACAAGCAGATGAAGCGGAGCTTGATTTGTGACTTTGGCGACAGGTTTGACGAGTAGGAGCAGTTCCAACTAGAAATTTGGACACAGCTATTTTGTTTTTAGGGCTTTTTTTTTTTTTATATGAACATAACCAACATGGTGGTTTTATTCAGAACAAAGTCCTCCTGTTATCAGTGCTGACAGCCTCTGACAATGAGGAAGATAAAATGACAGGTGGAAGGACGAGTGAATTAGTCCAGGCTCCTGGGGCCATTTCCACAGTCTAAGACTAAACAACACATCCACCTGACACCTGGTGACCTCTGAAGCATCACATGATCCTGATTGAAGACTTTACTAAAGGTGGGGGGTCGGTTACAACTATAGACCCACACAGGAATTCAGGAGGAAAAATGCATTCTGCTTGCTCTTAAATCTATTTCACACAAATTACATCCCAACGATTCTCCCACAAAGGTTATTACATGATAAACAGAATAATGTTTTCAAATGCCAAAATAAGCACTGCATAGCACCACCTCCATCAATAGCAAAAATCATGGGCTTCATAAAGTAAATATTCCATTATTAAGAGACGTATTCTAATTTAATTGTAAGAAAAAAAGATAGACGGAAATAAACTTATTTGCTGTAAGAATATTTGATTTGTGATGTACAGATGAAATATTGTTAGATTTCGAGTGTTATTACCACAGTCTAACACATTTGCTTCCAGAAAGCGTAATCACTTCCACCACAGCTGCTTTCTCAATAGAAATGTATGAGAGAAAGCATTTATGAGGACTAGTACTGTTTTGAAAAGTCCTGGTTGCCAAATCCTGATATGAGGGATGTGAACATTTGTTACTGACTCATCTTTTTGTTCTTTGTTTGAGGACTACCTGAAATATGTGTGTTGAAACTTAAAAGGATGTGGTGCAACATTACTATGATTGCATGGAAAGAAAATGTCATTGAGGAATTGAAACAATGTTTTCACTGTACTTCTTTATGTAAAAACATCTATAGCTTTTAGGGGTCCATGTGAGTTAATTTCTTTGTACTGGTAAAACCCAGAAGGATCTTTTCCCCGATACCAGGTTTTTTCAGGTACCTTCTTTCTTCTGTGTTGTAACAAATGGTGCAAATGATACAGTTATTGTGTAGTCTTATAAGGTGCAGGTAAATGTGTGCACATGAGTGGAGCATGTTGTAATTTGTGAAAGTACTGCTGGGAATGTCCGAGAAGTAAAAGGAGTTGTCACATAATGGAGAAACAGACAGACTCAACAAAAAGAGAGACAGAATAATTAACCGCTTTTGTTCTAAATATAAAGCTGGAACGTATAACACAGCACAGCAGCAAACAAGCAGTAAAATATTCCCCCATCATTCAGATTAAGCCCTGCTTCTGCTACACCTAAGCCTTAAAAGCAGTCCACTGTCTTATTTGCATACAGTGTGTGGTTGCTAGTGGGTACATTCATCCTTTTTGCAACTATCACCAAAGTAACTTTGTCAGGAAATTACTAATGCCGACCCTTTCCGGTTTCAGAATGATGAACAATGCGACCGTGTTCCACAATGATTACCAAGTTTTGTGTGAAAAAGCCTGACTTAGAAGCACACTGTGATGGAATGACATGCTGACTAAGCACATGAGCACACTAAGATAGGACCAATCTTAGCTGGAAGTTCTGATTATAAAAAAAAAAAAACGTAAAGACAAAACAGAAATACTAAAACATAGAATAGGCATAGAAAAAGTATAACATGGGCTAAAATGTGAAGCTAAAACCCACAAATCTACTTGTGGTAGAACTAAAAATCCAAGTACTCACGGTATTTTCTGCCTGCAGTAAAAGAATGCTGCAAGGGAAGCTCCCACCACAACAAGGCAAGCGATGACGATTCCAGCAATAGCGCCATCCGAGAGGCCGTCCTCCTCGATTTCCCCTGGAAAACAGCACACATCGGGATTTACTCATACCTCATAGACCTCAATGGTTTCCGAAGTATGGGCAGGCGTAAAAGCCTCAGAAAAAAACGTAATCACCCATCTGATTGTGGCATGTTCTGTGGTAGTGATCACTCGTGCTGATAAAGTTAGTACCCATATGCATATGTGAATCGCTAAGATTCAACAGAAAGGTTGTGCGACATTCCAGCGAGGCATATGGGAAGAAAAGCTAATCGAACCATTTTATGATTCCAGTCCACAACAACAGAGAAGACGCGGCCTGCCAAATCTTATTTAAAGTGGTGTTACCCAAACAGGCAAAATTGGAGAATATATTTTTCTGATTTTGAACAAATGTATGTCTGTAAAGCCCAAGAAAGCTCATTGAAATAACAATTAATTTCCCATCTACTTGTTCTTGTGTTTGGGAAGATAGACTTTTAGCAGTATATGAAATATGCTTAGGGTTAGGGTTAGGGTTAGGGTTAGGGTCTGTAATGTTTATGTCCTAGTTTATGTCCTGTAATGACTAAATGGTTGTCAAAGGCTGCAGACAGTGAGCTCACCTTTGACGCTTAGCTTATGAGAGAGGGAGACAGTCTTGCCGGTTTTGCTATTGTGCGCCTCACACGTGTACACTCCAGAGTCTTCGTATAAGGCAGTTGAGACGGTGTACTTCATTGTTTTTGTCGACTTCACTGTGCCATTTAACTTCCAGGTGTAGGTGGCAGGGGGGACAGATGAGACGGAGCAGGTGAGTTCCAACTTGCTGCCCAGCTCCACTTCCTCCACGCCCATCACAGAGCCCTCCTCAGGTCCGTCTGTCCACAAAAGGGAAATAAAAAACGTTGTCATGAATTCCCGACTCAAGTGTTGATTCACAATGGTAGCCCGAGATAAAAAACCGACCCTCAAACAAACGAATACTCACAGTAAACCTGCATGGCAAAGACGGCCTGTTCCACGTTGACCAGGCTGGAGACACGGCAGGTGTACATTCCATTGTCTTCCTTTTGCACTGGGTCGATAACGACTGAGCTCTTGTCAGCAGAGAACACTACACGGGGACCGGCAGACAAGTCTTTGCCATCTTTTTGCCAGACATTTTCATTCACTTGGCCCGCCTTTATGTGGCAGGTGAGGTTGGCCGTGCTGTTACCGGGGAAGAGGTCAGCCGTTGGACCGGTGATGGAAACGCCTGCAACAGGCTCTGTGAGGGAAAGAAGAACGGAGGGGCATTTTGACTTGTGTTTGGAGCTTAAAATCTAATAAAGAAATGAAATTCCTAGATCAAAATGGACACCCTGACTGTAACGGCTCATTCATTGAGCTACGCCTAACAGGACAACACCTTTTTCTGTCAAGTAGCTCCAGGGGGGATTTTACTAAGACAAGCTGCCAAGTCCAGTCTGTGATGTGTCAGTGGTGTGACACATGTCGTAAAAAAAGCTCAGGCAATTTTCCACAGTTGTAGAAGGTTGGTTTTATCTGTCAAACAAAAACAGTTGAAACTGGTCTCAAACCAGTCCAAAGTCTGACTGCAGATGCCTGCGTATTTCGGTCACTTTTTCAGTGTTAAAGTGATAGACCAAAGCTGACATTTTGTATTCTGTCAGCTGACAAAATGTTGTTTGACAAAATTCTCTGTATCCATTATGTTGCGTTATAGATTCACACACTGTTTTATAAAGCATTAAAAAAAACGAGGCCACTTCTATGTTAACCAAAACAAAAATGGATTCAGAATAAAAATTTGACACCAGAATCTAAATCAAGCAAGACAAATGATGATTTGAAAGGGTTTCTGGCCCTTCTACTGTAATGGTGATTTCCTTCTATGCATACGTGAGCTGTTTCAACTTGCCAAATACCTTGAGTCACTGAATTAAAATGTCATACACTTTTCCACAGAAGCTCCCCCTACCTTCCTCTTTCTCGCTCTCTTATCAACCAAAATGAAAGAGAACAGAAACTATTTAGGGTAAACCTCCAATCCAGCAGGTTTGACACACGGACGCACAAGAAAGGATGTCCTACCAACAGGACAACAACATTTTCACAAGACGAGGAGATTCTTTTGCCGTAAATTCCAGACAGAAACTGTCATCTGTGTGCTGAATGGCATTTCAACACTTTACAGGTTTAAACAGTGATTCACCCGCTTTGGGTGTCTGTCACGAGCAGCTTTAGAGTCCTACTTTAACAGGTTCTGGCCACAAAGAAACAGAAAGATTTTAGTCCGTTTTTTTTCTCACCTGTCTGTGGGCCTCTGCTTGTTTAAACTGATTTATGTAAAGGAAACCAGTAATGCTGATGTGTATGCCTTTTTGTTAAGGTCATATTTGATGTCTAATTCTAACGTTTATGAGAAAAAACATAGTGCCACATGTATGCAATAGGTTTTTTTTAAAAATATTTCTGTAGTCTTGACTAACCCAGATATTCATGAGTTAATTTCCTGACTTCCTCTACATCTGTATTTTGTAACTTTAATCTGTAACACTAATATTGTCACTGTTTATCTAGAACTTTTCTGAGAGGCTCAGTTGATGTGCATAACCAGTCAGCATACAAAACACAAGCACAAAAAACATCTCCGGAGTTGTAGCAAAAGTGGTTAAATGACAGAAACTGTAAGAAAACAAAACTGTGATGACCTATGATGCTTCACAGCACTTTAGAACACAGAATAGGATGTTTTCCCATAATACTCGTCAACAGCACTCACCTATCACAGACAGTTTCACAGATGGGGAGGCATTGGTGCGCATAGTCTTGGAATTTTGTGCAACGCAATTGTACTCCCCGGGATTCTTTTGAATCCCCAGCGCTTCGATGTCTTTCAGAGTGAGCACGGGACCAGTCGCCTCTATCAGGACTTCATTGTGGTACCAGGTGAAGGTGGCCGGTGGGCTGGATGGTGCGGAGCAAGTTAGGTTGAAGTCGGATTTGGACTTGACATACTTGGGAGGGTTCAGGGGCTTTATCATGACTTCATCGGGTCCATCTGAGGAGCATAAACAGATGATTCCAGTTCAGTTTTGTTTCCGTTTACAGTGTTTTCCTCTTTCTCATCGTTATTGTTTGTCAGACAACAAAAGTTACATTCTTTCTTCTGTTTAATTGTGGACTCCAGTTCAGCATTACGAAAAAAATAAATTTTCTTCTTTAAATTGAACACATTTCTGTTTGACTGATGTAGGTCTAAAACAACAGCAATCAATACTTACTTTTATGTACAATTTAAAAAGCTAAAAATGCCATCGTCAAGAAAATTTGAATGCAACATATTCAAAGCATGTTTCTATATTTCATTGCAAAGCTATCCACTATATGAGTTCACCATATACCTAAAGTAAGCAGATAAACTCAACCAACAGTCTTTCAACAACTTCCAGATCCTCCTTAGGAAAGTAACAGTTGAAAAAAAGGGCATTTTCAATCAGGATTAATACGAATACCAGTAAACCAAGTTTCTTTACTTCTTCATAAAGCCAAACCAAATCCTCCTCAACTCCAGAGGTGAGCTTTTAATAAATTAATAACAGGGTATGCCTGTGGTTGGTGAGGTTTCGCTGCCTTTCAGGTTAGTCATGCTGAAGGAGTGGAGGTGTACGCCACTGTGTACACAGTGCCGTTTAAGCCTGAGAGAACAGGCTTAAAGGCAGTGCCTTACAAACGCGCCCAATGAAAAAACACAAGCTTCATGAAGTCACAAGGCTACTAAGAAAGGCATTTTTATTTGAATTTGGACAGGTTTCACACACACAAACAGAATGCAATAAATTCTTTTGCACCGCTATGGGTTGATACTCGGATTAGCGGATTAAGTATTTATGACTGGTCTGGGAGTAGAAAGGAGTGACAGCCACAGGCTCATGTTTGACCTTCTTTTGTTGCCAAACAGGTGTGGAACTCATTCAGTCAAGTGCGACTTTTCAAACAACGGATGGCTAAGAAATGAAGGCGACTAAAAACTGTCAAACTACCAAGGCTGATAAATGACCAGAGGAACAACGTCTCCACGCAACAAATCGATAATCTGTTTATTTCTATACGAGAAAAACCCGGACAAGTTGATTTTGACTCTGTATGGTGACTTATGTCCAACTGCTTACAATTTTTCAATGAATGACCAACCTTTGCGTAATCCATCATCACAACAAAAGCCTTTTTCAAACCTAATTATCAGATTTAGTGAAAAGTCCATTAACAGCATGCGGCTGTTGAACTAGAAGCTCCAATAATTACAAAAGCCAGCAGCAAAATTATGAATGCTAGGCAACTGCACTGATCTGAGATGGTCTACTTGGAAACTAAAAATTCTAAGAGAATTCGGTCCTTCGGCTACGGTCTCATGAATTCATCCCATCCATCCATCCATCCATTATCAATACCGCTTATTCCCTGTTGGGGTCGCGGGGGGAACTGGAGCCTATCCCAGTGGTCTGAATTCATCCCGCCTTAGGTTTTTTCATGATACTCTACTAAATGTCAGACATGTTTTTATCTATAAAAGGTTCAATACTCAAAACTATAAATCGACTGTTATCGACTGTTCGACCGGCTTGTTTTCGACTTGATTCTGAGAGATCTAAATCAGTTTGACCCTGAGTGGACAGAAAGACAACACAGTATCAGCGCACCATGCTGCAGTTTGGGTGAAGAACTTACAGTGGACGGTGAGGTTGAAGGCAGGGCTCACTTTAGTCTGCAGTGGATTCTTCGCTGTGCAGTAGATAGGTCCGACCAATTCTGACCTCAGCACACCTCTGATGGTCAGAGTGCTGGAAAGTTCTTCCTGTGACATCATTCAAATAGATAAACAGCACTGAGAAGAACTGGATCTCTACGTATCATGAGCACATTTGAACTAGTGTGAGTGCAAGGCAATTTTTGGATTCTCACATTTCAATGAATGATTTCATTCAAGCTTACACTTAGTCTCCAAGAAAAAAAAAAACAATTAGAAATGGTTTTCGGTGCACTATTAACCGAGCAAAACAACACACTAGCATAACATAACTGAGAGAAACCAAAGTAAAAATGCACATAAACCACTTACGACTTTGTTTGTAATCCGTATACCATCTATGACAAACGGCTCGTTGCCCTTTGTCCAAGAGAATTGGAGGTAGGAGCCCTCTGCAGAGCAGGTAAGAGTCACTGTGCTGTTGAATTCAATCGCTTCAGGCATGTTAGATTCGATGATCACATCGGTCACAGGCTCTGAAAAAGAGATGAACTAAATTAACATTAGGGGGAAAAGTCTGCCAGCTGAGGAAAAAAAGAAAGTCATGAATGAAAATGTAAAAAAAAAAGCCTTTGATGTATGATAAGCAAAATCTCAACTTCCGCTATATTTGCTTCAGTAGATTCAGTGTTGACAGCTTTAATTCATTTCACTATTTTTCTTTCAGCTGGATGATAATGTGGTTCCTCCATTTTCTGCGAAACGATCGCAGCCGTCCAGCTGAAACTACATAATCCCTTAAAGATGTCTGCAGGACATAACTCGACAACCAAGCAGGATGCAGCCTTTGCTTTTGTGAGCCCCTGATCTGTGTAAAGTTACACAGAGTGGTGGTTATCTCATTTCACGCCTTATCTTAAACTAAACAATGAAGCCTTTTCACAGCAACTTTTGAACCCAAAAAAGCATCCCCTTAACCTGGAACGGGTGACGGAGGTTTCTGAACAATGAATTACCGCCATAACTATCCAGGCAATCGCAATTTCAAGTTCATTTGATGCTGTACGCAGCTAGGTGGATTTTCTATTTCATACATCAAGGCAAAAAGGAAAAAGCTAATTAATGATGAAAGTAAACAAGAAAAACTGGTGACAAACAGTATTGAACTTCCCAATTTGGAATGAGTCAGTGTTATAAGGGTGTGTTAGGGTGGATATTTGCATTGTTGGTGAAATCCAACAAACAAGCAGTCAATTATTAAACACTGAGGTGGAGGATTTAATAACCCGCTTGCCCAACGCCTCAACCTTTTAGAGCCCAAACTGTGAAATCTGAAATCACCTGCTGAACACAATGAATGCAGAAACGGTGCCTCAAGAGGACCTGTTGGACTTGTTCTCAGGAAGTTCTGAGTCTGACTGTACTGCTCGTGTGCTGACGATTAGGCAACAGCAGGTGTGTGTGTGTGTGTGTGTGTGTGTGTGTGTGCACGGTATGAAGGAGTGGCAGTCGGCTCTGACTCTGACCTCGAAGTGTTTTGCCACTGACTTCACGGTGGTTACTTCGGAGATAAGATTCTGTCTTCTGTGTGTATCCCTGAATGCCCTGAAGTCAGAGGGGCGTAGCAAGCTTTTCAAAAGAAAGGGGGGGGGGGGTGTTTGTCCAGGGGATGGGGTAGTATCAGCTGTACACTGAGACTTTTAGTTGCCGGGAATTGTTTGCTATTTGGGATTTTTATCTTGAGAGATTTGCTTAAACTCAAGAAGATTACTCCCATCTGGTTACAGTTTATATGGGATAAAAACTCCTGTCCTTGAGTGCCGCCTCCCTGCAGATTTGAGACGTTCTCCTGCCTCTGCATACCTGATTCTCATTCAATAGGATCTCCCTCAGACATGGCGGAGCTTTGCACAGGCCATGCTAATGTCACATCCATGTGAATCAGGTGTGCTGAAACTGACACACCTCTAAAACCAGAAGGACAGCGGCCCCTGAGGACTGGAGTTTGACACATCCGCACAAACTAACTGACCACATAGACATATTACCACCTCATTTTAGTTTTCAAATCATGTATAACAATAGAAAGGACACGGTGAGCAGATCATACTGCTGTTTTCCGGAGGCTACTGAAACTCTGAAGTGATGACGACACTGGCCCCGCCGGGAAGACTCAGGCGACTGTGTCAGCTCAGTTAAAAAGAGACCACAGGCCTCTGGGATCATCCCTTAGACACCAGCACCAATGTCAGTAAGAGTCTGGAAGCTTTAAGGATCTGAAAGCTGAACTTTAAGGATGTCGGTGTTGATTTCTGGGAGTTGCTTGTTGTAGCTGCATTACATACACAGAGGGAGGAGAGAAACTCAGCGACTTGTGGGGAAAAACAGCGAGGGTTTTAAAACATCTCACTGGGAAAAAAAGGCGGATGCTGTAACACATTGTCAGGAAGATAAACATGCCTGTGTGTTAATATTAGACTGATGTTCTGAGATGGCACATCAGTAGAAACAAAGTGCTGCTCATTCTTAGCAAAATGTTCAAAAGAAGACAAACTGCTTGAATCTTTCTGTCTGGCTGTTCTTCATGAGTTAGTTTCTTTAATGAAGGACTTCATTCTTGAGTAATTATGTTAAAGTCACCATGACCGACAATTCTAGGTAAAAGGCGGCAGACCTGTGATCAGGAATACATTCCCCCACCCCCCAAATCGGCCTGATTAACAATGAATTGTCTTTTTGATATGCCCAAGACCATTTTTAAAGCAAGCAGGTTAGCAAAACAAACTCCAGCAGATGTGTACAGGCATGGTCGTCCTTTTGGACACACGCATTACGTGCAGTGAAGCAATAGTAAGTGGTAAGGTCACAAAAATGGGATCCTGACACTCCCATTCAAACAGCAGTAAATTGCCACACCCTGAGGTGCGAGTGGGAGGTATTTGCTGTGAGGACTGAGATACTGACAATTCCACACTCACACTCCCCCACTAACACCACCTCTTTCCCTACATCACCATTATAAGTCTCACATGTGATTAAAATATGTGTTTCACATAGTGCGATGACTCTAAAATGAGTCCTATTGATAGGGAAATCACTTTTTTTTGGTGAATTTAGTTAGGATGTTGAGGTAAAAAGGATTTTGAGAAAAACAAAAACATTTACAGAAAGTAAACACATTGTAGTCACACAACTCTTCCGGTATAACTCAATAAAGTCACTCACCCAGAACCCGAACTTTAACCTCTCCGGTTAAAACTTCCTTTCCTACTATGTTGATGCTGTAATCTCCGCTGTCCTCCGATTTTAAGCCGGACAAAGTCAAATATCCGGTTTTCACATCAACTGAGACTCTTCCCTCGTAACCATTTCCCACTTTCACTCCCGATGAACGCAAAGAAGCAACGATGATTTGTTCTGATCCATCGCTGAAATTCCAGACGATAACATCATCATCCTCCTTTGGAACCAGGATTTTCAGAGTCACATTTTGGCCCAAAGCTGCATCCAGCGGACCATCAGGCAGAACATCTTTCCCAGCACAGTACCCTGTGGTCACAGATGAAGTAAATCAAAATTGGCCCAGAAATTAACAGATAAAAAGACAAAACACAAAAAAAGTCTAATTAGAATTTGTTTTTGTTTTTTTCGGAGGATAATTTTTGTATGTGCTAACTACCATACAAAATCAGATAATATAATGTAAGCCATAGGGATGACGCATTTCTGTAAAGACATTTAGAAATTCAGAAAGCTAAAGGTGAAAATAACCCTCACCGGTGAAGGAAAGCAGAAAAACCAGCGAATCCAACGCGAACAGACGCATTTCGGACGGTTGACGTCTTCACAGCAGAGAAACAGGCAAGAAAATGCGGCAGTACCTGGAGCTTCAACAAGGACACACCCGAAAAGGTGAACACCCACACTCCCCCACTAACACCACCTCTTTCCCTACCTCACACCAAAAAGTCACACATTTACTGAGTGAACACTTTGAACATAATTCCTTTGAATGGTTTTATTTACTCGTTATTTTCTTCGTTTTCATTTAATTTATATCCTCTATATTTTGCAACTCATCCTCAAACCGATTACATACATGTTGCAATGTGTTTGTTCTGGAAGTCAGAATCGTAAACCTTTCTAATATAGAAGTGACGGGCTTTCCCAGTCTCATTCATTCCTATCAGGGGTGACGTAGTCCGGTGAGATGCTGCTGCCACCTGCTGGACACGTGGAGAATTACTAAAAACAAAAATAAATAAAAAATCAATACAACGATTGACTGCTCATTAATTCAATTTAAACTGCAAACATATCTTGTACGATCTGTGAGTGTGTGTGTGTGTGTGTGTG